TGGCAGGAGGAGCCGGGGATCGATCCAACAACCTTCCGCCGATAGCTTGCAGTGTGAATGTCGCATAATTATATTAAAATACAAAGACCCCTGCTTCTGTCCTGTTTCAGCTCTTTGTGACGACCAGTTTTTGTGATCTGTTATATTAGCAACTGACTCGACCCTAGAGTTGGATTTCTGGAAGCAACAAGCTTGGAGACACAAAACAGATTTACATAGTCAAGAGCAAACAATTTACATAAGCTTGAGATAAAAATGAAATACATGGAAACAATTAGCTAGTCTTAACAAGACAGGGATGAGCGGGGAACAGCTTGTGCTGATATGAGTCAAGGTCAGATAAGAAGAAAATGTTCAGGATGTGATGAGAATGGGATGTGACAGGAACAGAGAAATATTCCCCAACACCAGTAAATGAATATGAAGGAGTGTTAAGAACATCCTACAAATTGTTCATGGTTATCACCTGAAATCTGTGTTCTGCAAAGTTGTAAAATGCTACAGTTTGCTTCTGATGGACTTGTACAGTGGTAACATTTGAACATGCCCCACCTTGCCATGAAAATGCCACACTTTTGCCACTTCAATGAATGACCAAAAAAAGACAATATGAAAACAAAGGCATACAACTGATCAACTGGCTAAATACTAAGATTCGTTCAAACTAGCAAGGGCTCTGTGATTTCTATTTGCAATAATAAAACTGTTCTGAAACCCAACAGTGATGTGTTTGAAGGTTACTTTTTACAGGTAACAATGGGAGTCCAACTGTGAGATTTGCTTGGTTTGTAGGTGGTTCCAAGGCTTCAACTGGGAAGGTTTGAGGTATCACAAGCTGCTTTCTCCACTGAGGAGAGAGGTGAGACTGATCTCTGTTTCCTAATAGTGAACAAGCACAGGCAGACAGTCACACAACACATCTGTAAAAACATTTCAGTTCAATAGAGTACTGCAGCAATGAGTCCTAAAACCCGGAATTGATGCCAAACTTAATGTGGTTTTTAAAAAAAAACGTTTTTGGTTAGATGCCTGCAATATGGTCTGTGGTCAACACAGGCTTAAGAGATTTTCACATTTCGTTCTACGACCTAATTTTGAAGCTTTTGTCTTAAAAGAGTTACTACTTAGTGGCTGAATCTGACCGGTGATTTATTTGACCGCGGTGTAGCTCATTTATAGCCTAACGTTGGCTTTTTCCTTCTGACGATCACATTTATGCTACAAAAACCATAAAAGTGGTGTTCATTGTGAAGATTGTCTTGCTGAACAAAACGTGTAAATCCAAGGGAACAATCCCAATGGGTATTTTTGTCAAAGGAACCAGGGCAATGCTAACTTCTGGGTGGTCCTACATACCATCATACATGCATCACTCAGAATGTGAATGTTTTTAATCTCCACTTTGGAGAATACTGGTGTGATCAGGAAATTATTTGCAACACAATTAAATGAAAAACTTTTATATAAATGATAATGAAGAAAGGTCGAAGCATATGGAATGAAAGTGAAATGCACATTGGACCTCCAAATATTCGGAACTCATGAGGATGTGGTCGAAGTGTTCACATACGGTACAAAGTGCACTGACTCACGATGATATATTATGAACATATCTGTCATTACGCTAATTGAAGTGGCTACATTTATTTAAGGACAGGAAATCTGCCAGTGACGAAGTTGTGAATGATCCTGTGCCAACAAAATGTAATGATGTGACGATGATTTTCCTTGTTCCTGCAGCTGAAGGGGCCAATGGATCACAGTCACTTTGACATTTTTCCTCCTGACACCGAGGAGCCTCCCGATGAGCTGTCTGGCTGGGATAAAGACTTTTGAGGACTCTGATTGTACAGAATCTAAGCACCAGCAGTGGATCTGGCCCATGAAGATGCAGTAGCTTAAGCAAGCTAACTCCTAAAGCTTTCCACTCTCACAGCGTTTACTGGAGTTTAAAGGGAGAGTGAACAGGTAACTGCTGCGCTCATCCTGCCAGATTTACAGACTTTTTTTTTTTAACTTTTACTGTAAAAACTTTGTTACATTCAAACATATGAGGCAGAGATAGACTGTCAAAAGCTTTTTGTAGCATGGTCCCCTTTTAGGTATAAAAGAGAGGCTGTGTTTGCAGCTGCATGTCAAATACACTGAAATTCTTGTATTCCACCGAGTGTGGTAGTAGCACATTCCATCAGTTCAGCCCTGAGCAACATGGGTGACTGTGTGGCAGATAAATCTTAACTTGCAGCCTCTTCCCATAAGCAAAACAAGGAAGTACTTCCTTTTGTTTTCACAGTATTTTACAAACCAATATAATTCAGATATATGCCATGAAAAGGCTACAGTGGGACCAAATATGTCATTGTTATGTGCTGTTTGGGAGGCGTGTGAAACAATCAATCTGAGGTTTATATGCCAACTGAAAATGCAGGCCACTGCTTGGGCCTCGAACAACACACTGAACTGCATCGTACTGTTTTGTTTTGCGCATTGTGTTCTTTTATTTTTCTTCATTGTCTTATTTAATCCTTATTTATTTTCCTGGACAGCTCTACCAACCCGCTTTCACTCCGTAGTCGTCACATACTGCAGCTTGGTCATTGGCCCTCTGATTCAAAATATGATGCTGTAAATATCCCTCTGGCTTCATTTCTGGATGCACCCACCATCAAGGACAAGTAAGGTAGTATAAAGAGCGAGACAGTCCTCATATGGAGATGATGGGCAACCAAACATAGGACTTTAACCCGATGTTAATGTCTTGTGTGAAAAGTAAATAATTTATTATAAGTAATGTATGTAAGTTACCTAAAGTACGTAGGTAGGTAAGTTACATTTTATCCATGCCCATTTCTCCTGTTCAGGCTATTTTATTTCAGTCAGGACCACTTTTGTCAAAATATCTTTTATTCCAAAGCAGAATATTACATTTGGCAGTATGGCTCTGTTCTGGGACCTCCTTGTCCTTCCACGTGCCTACGTGGAAAACCTTAAGGCAGGGAGAGCACACCTCCCTGCCCTTCCATGTGCATACACGTAAAGGTTTAA